GCTTTTTCAATGAAGCAGAGGACTTCAGATCCATCCTTAATTGCTACTTCTGCATGAAGACATGGCTTATTACAAACTCAAACTGAGAACTGCATATGATGTCCCTGTCATCATTAAAGAATGAATGAATGTTTTTTTACGCCATAACCTTATAAAATATACACATATATATATATATATATTTGGACCACATTATAAGTGTAACTTTGGTCATTTATAATATATATTTTTTTTATTTCCTTTTTTTATATATATAAATCAAACTTTGCTTTTCTATACATTTTGTTTTCTAAACAACATGAATCTAAAATCTAAAACACTCAGTGTTGTGACTCATATGAGTGGGTGCAAGAAAGGCCACATCCGCAACAGACAAACAGGCACTTCAGCTCACCCTTCCCCTTAAGAACCCGCAAGCAAACACTTGCCAGAATGAACTGAGCTAAACTAAGCTGTCTCGCAAGAGCAGATTCCTTGATGCTTATCAGTTCCGTGATCGAGTGGAATTACAGTGTCTCGTGGGCCGTGAGACCTGTCCACCCTCGCACTGCACGCGACCGTACCCTTACACCAATCGCTCACTCTGCTATCGATTAAGACCAGTTTAGCGCCATTTCAACTTTGCAGAAACATCCTCAAAGGGGAGAGGAAAGATCAGCAGAGGACAAGGAGTGAAAAACAGATACTCTGGCTAAAGTGAGTCCTGCACGCCGCTGTTCGGAGCAGCATCCTTTAATTATGTGCCTATGAATAGAAGCTCCAACACCACAGCACAAGCGCCAGCTACCCGACTGGCTGCCATTTTCTACCCTCGCCCTTCTGTTTTTCGTCCAACACACACTGTTGAGTTGGATTTCTTACATAAGTGCTTTTGTTTTTTCAATGTCAAGTCACCACATTGTTTCTTTTCAAGTTGGCCTTTTCCCTCTCTGAAATCAAAACCGTCCGGATGAAGCTGCGGTCGGCCCTGTGGCCGGAGTGACACTTTCCACTGTGGCTTCAACACTGTTAATTTTGGACAAGTCAGGCTAGATGGACGAGGCTAAACTTCTCACTTAAAGCTGCCGTTCATGTTTCTTCACAGTGCCGAGAAGGCATTTCTTGCAAATCTTACAAGAGCTGTTTTTGATCATGTGTTAATGATGTCAGGAATGTAAATTACGGCATGAATGTGAACACCGGTCTCAGGGAAAGTTTAGCCTGATATTGTTAGTCAGCATATCTGGAGGCTCTTCTCTATATAGGGGACTACGGGGATTTCTTCCAGCCTTGCTGGTGCCAAACAATTTCATAACTCAAAACAATTATTATAGCCCTTTCGATTTATGCCCGAGCAAATGAGGTGATAACAGACACATCCCATTATTTCTGAATAAAGCTGACAGGTGATGGTCAAACTGTTTGAAGTTTACAGCACCCCACTGTTATCTAAAACAAGCCGCCCCAGAGCACACTCCTCATGAGGGCAGAGGACGCCTGACAAAGGGCCACACTGGGGGCTCAGCACTCAGGGGACCAGAGCTGGGGCCTCCCTAGACTGGGACAATAATCTTCAGTGAACGAGTAACCAAAACATTACACCAACCCTTCACATGAGATAGACCGAACCAAAAGCTATGATTCTCAAACACAGGTCAGGATTTAACAATAAGTCTTTTTCAGTTAGCCTGGCTGGATTTGTATTTATCACTCCTATTAAGCCATTGAATTGATTGAAAGTGACAGTAAAAACATTTAATAATGTTACACAAGATTTCAAATAAAAGCGGTTCTTTTGAACTTTCTATTCATCAAAGAGTCCTTAGACAAAAAAATCATCATCACGGTTTACAAAAAAGAAGGGAAAAAAAGTAATACAACTGTTTTCAACATTGATAAGAAATGCTTCTTGAGCAACAAATCAGCATATTAGAATGATTTCTGAATGATCATGTGACACTTAAGACACTTAAAATATATTAAAATAGAAATAATATTTCACAGTCTTGCTGTTTTTACTGTATTTTTGATCAAATAAATGCAGCCTTGATGAGCATAAGTGTCTTTTCAAAAACACCAACTGCAAACTTTTGAGTGGTAGTGTACATATAAAAAAATAAATAATGACATATAACATGAATATATGTTTACCAACATTGTATGTGTCAAAAAAAATATTTAATAAATAAAAAAAAAATAAAAAACCCTTTGCTGAAAAAAAAAATAATGGCCTACGATGATTGCTTATCATCATCACAATTTTTTGATAATACTGGAAATGTGTCTCTCACACATGACTTTACACCATCATTATCGTTGAGCCCCTCACATAATTCTCTCTGCAGCATTTCAGTTTGATAGGATGGTTATGTAGTCACATTTTTTTTTTTTGAGACCTTCAATTCTTTGTTGATCTAAGAAAAACACACATTTGCACAAATATTTGTAGAAGTAATGTCCCTAAGCAGGCCTTGATTGTGGACTGTATGTTTGCTTTGCTCTGTGATCCATAGCACTTTTCTCTAACTGACTCATAAAGATAGAAAGACCACTGGGCTGAAAGTTCCAGTGCAGTTGACCATAGTGATGGGACACTGACTTCACCTCCACCTCCTGCTCCACACATGCTAATGAGGAAAAGGTGGCTTGCTACTCTGAGGTCTAAAGGTTAACCAATAGCACCACCTAGAGACAAACATGTTCTGTCCAAAGCGAGGTCAGGACAATCTAATTAGAAGGGTGTAATTCACCGCATTTTATTCCCTCATTTTATACGCAAATCTATAGAATCCAATGGTTCAATAATGCAGTAAAATTAAAAGGCAAGAATACGGGGCTTCCAAACTAAGAAAGAAATAATTAATAGTAAAATTAATACAGAAATAAATACTAAAAGCAAACAAGGCTGTTAGTGTCAATAGATAATAACTTAACTTCAGCAATTACTCTTAATAGACAATGACTTTATACATAATAGGCAATTTTCTGACTTATAGTTCATGTATTGAATAAAAAAAATTCTCAAATGTTTCTCTTAAAATAGAAACAGAAATAATTTGATACAAATAAGACATTGACAATAACAGTACAGTGCTGTAATTAGAATAAAATCTATTTTAAATAAAAAATTAATTTAATTAAAATGAAACAAAAAGTAGATCAATGTCAATTTCCACAATATTTTATTTATAATAATAAATAAAATATTTTAATTAATTAATCAACCATAAATTAATCATATTTATATTTACTTGTTCTAAACTACTCTTTGCATAAATCCTCTTTATAATATTACTGCACCCAAGCTCAATCACGGCTCACAGGCACGAGTTTTGTGGCATGGCTTGGCATCAGTTCAATATTGTGCGGTTGATACAGAACATCCATCAGGATTGTTTTGATCTACTAAGATATGCACCATTTCCTTACAATCTTTTAGTAACCCTATGCAAAAATCATCCGCACCTGGAGGTGTATACTTATGTACACAATGACTCATCCTCAATGGAGTCTCCCATAGTGTTCCTTAGTAAGGTCAGATATGTGAAGGATTTCACTTAGGGCAATGGCTATCATTAGCTTTCAGCACCTTCTTATTAGAAGGACTCTCAATCTGCGACACACACCTTACAATGAGCCATTGTGACTGGACTGGATATCCGGAGAAACAAACATTACTATATGTCAAATTGAAAAGTGATCAGATAACTGCCTATTAAAATGAGCCAAGATCCTCATTCAAGGGCAGGTTGAGGACAATGCTGCCATGGTTTTACTCTTGATGCCACTAGGAGCCATGACCTAGTGGCATCAAGTCATGGTGCTCAAGCAGGAGAGTATCCTAAAAAAAAAAAAAATTAAATTAAATAATCCTGAATATAAATAAAAATCAATGTGCAAAATCCAGCATTAATTAATAGTGGCCCTTATGATGAGTAAAGCATGTTGTGAAGTGGCTGACTAAATGTGCTAAGAATTATGAGCCCGTCCTACGCCTTCTGAAAAGCACAGCTCTTCTCATCTTTAAGGTTTGAAACTGTACCTGTTCAGTGCTTGGGGTATTTCATCTGAAAGAGACCGAGGGCTTTGTTGACCTCAATACACTTCAAGAGAGACAGACATGAACAAGATCAATGAGTACTAAATATTCCACTACGTGTTAAGGAGAGACAAGAGGAAAGAAAAAGAAGGACGGATAGAGAAGAAAATGAGGGAGAAATGACAATGACCGATGTGCCTGGGGGCAGATTCACCAGAAGATACACAATGGCTGCTTTTCAGTACAACAGATCTTAAGAGCCAAGCAGACAGTAACGCTTAGGGAACAAGATGAGGTTACATGTATAAAGGTGACATGACTGACACCGCCATCTCCTTTTCAAATGGAATTTGAAATTTCACACTTTTGTATCATTCCTTTTTCCCCTGAAGTCCCCTTTTAATCTTAGACAAACTTTCCTGCATTAAAAACAGTCAAAGGTCCATTTTTCACCCTTAGCATTAAAGGAATATCTCAACCAAAAATAACAATTCTGTTAAATTTTAAATTTAACTTTGAAAGACTATATGGAAAAGAGAAGTCAACATCACCATTTAATACTTCTAGTTGTGTTCCACAAAAGCAAGAAATATAGGCTACAGGTTTGGAAAGACATAAAGAAAAGTAAAAGATGACAGAATCTTAACTACCACTTAAACAGGTTGCTACTGTACCTTTAAGACATCTATATGAAAATGCACTCTTTTATGATTGGCTTATCTCCACATACCAGTGCAGTACAGTGTTGGTTATCAGAGCAGGTCAATATCATTGCAGTTTGGTTTATATAAATGGCCTGGGTGGACTAGGAAGATAACTTTGCATTGTGAACAGAATAAATCTGCACTGCATATCAAACAAAAAAGCAGGGATATCCACAACGCGTCCCCTTTGAGACCATGTAAACGCCTGCCGACCAGGTGCCTAGAGTTTTGTGCTTTGGTAGGACTCAGTGAGGCATCACAATGAGGTGTTCACTTACCACTCGGATTAAATGCCATGCAGGATATAGGCTTATCATGTGCTGGAAAATGCGCAATCACTCCTTCTCCATCAGAATCCTCACTAACAAGAACCTGAAACATATACACCCAAAAACATACAATAAAGCTACAGTACGTTGATGGAGCTACATAAATAAAGGCTGACTTCTTGTTTACGTCACGTCTCAGTGTTTTAGACACATAGCTGGTCATTGGCTCTACAGTGGCCTGTGCAATCTGATCTTCACAGTTACATAAGATTTAATCAGTTTAACAAAGATGTGTTTTGGCATTTTGTTTAAAACAAAGTGTATTCCAAGTTGTGTTCCATTGTATGGAGCAAAAAATGGGCTGAAAAGGTTTCCATGTGTTCTTTTTTGTTGTTGTTGTATGATCATCATCCATTCCCCATCATGTCATTCAGCTTTAAACATGTTGCCCTCTTGCGGGTGCTTAACAATTATCCTTGTGTCTACTTTAATCCACATTGAAAGATTTTAGCTCTAAATGACACATGTTCGGCAAAATAGTTTCATTACGGAATTCAAAAAGACATTTTTATAAGATGTCCGCAAATATGTTGGTGTGTTTTATGAATACGGCTTCAAAGAAATAAAGACTAACCCACATGACCACTGTGATCAATGTGCATATTCTGCCAAAGCCCACATTGCAACAGTTCTGTATCAGACAGGAAGAAAAAGTGGCATGTTGAAAGAGTTAAAACAAACACAGCAGGAAGAAACTCTATAGCATCTCTTCACATTTTGATACCCAAAAGAGATGAATAGCTCCCAGTTAAAAAAAAAAAAAAAGTAATGTGAATCTGTAATTCATCCCCTCATGTACATTACTACAGGAAAGGAAAGGGGAAAAGAAAAGAAAATAGGGATGAAGGGATAAAGAGTAATAAAAAATAAAGATCAATAAAAAAACTTATAAAAGCACAAAAGTAACAAAAAGAGAGTTCCTTTTTCTTCATTTACTCAATAAAACAAATATTAAATCAATTAAAAACAAAAACAAAACAAGTTAAAAAAAGTACAAATAAAACTTAAAACAAAATAATGTTAACTTTTCTTTATTTACTTAATATGAAAATCAAAACAAAACAAAAAGTAGTAAAACTATTATTGCATTTAAAATATCAAGTATTACTCCAAAATGAGTGTAAATATTAAAATTCAAAATAAATTCCAATATTTTTCAAATAGCCTATCAAAGTTGAAAGCAAAAAAGAAAGAAAGAGGAGAGTGTGTTGCTCATAAGGGGCTATTCTCTGTTAAGTTTGCTCATGAAAGAGATTATAACTAAACCCAGACATGAGACAGCCGGAGAGAAGAGTGATAAATCTAGCGGAGTGTTGCATTAAGGAGCAAGGCAGCTTTTAATAGGATCCAGTCCAAACAGAAAACAGCCTTGCTCTAAAACCCAGACATTTATTTCAGACTGCAAAAAATGCCCCTGTGACACAAACCAGATCGCTTTTACTAGGGGCAAAAACAGACAATGTTGTTCTGTACAGGAATATACTATTGCTTCGAAAAAGTATTAGTGTGCAGAGCAAATAAACTTCTTGCAGTAAATACAGAGGATGATGATGATGAGGGGGTTGGGCATGTCCCCCGAGACTGGGAGTGGGGTGGATGGGGGGAAAAAAACACAAGAGAAAATGCAAAGACCACTGCTGGAGTAACGGGAGAATGGCACTGACAGTAAATTCCATAAAGATGTTTTGTGTGAACATCGAAAGCATGACTAGTCCGCTTTGGGAGGAGTGCAGCTTCTTGTGAGGTTGGCTTTGGAGCGGATGGCGATATAAACACAGGAAACCTCTCTTAGAAAGTGTTGACTCTGGCAAATCAGAGTGGTATAGGTTTATAAATAAGCAGAATAAATCACACCTCTAAATGAGAGCAACGTGTCGACCGGGTCACGGTAGACTCTCTGGGGAATCGAGGGTTTAACCATCACATTTTTAACAGCCCACTAAATGGGAGGATCTATTTACATGGGTCAGAATCAACAGGATAACGAAACCTGTTCCAACTTAACCTCTCTCCAAGTAAAAATCCTTGAACAGAAAAACTGCAAATATTAAAGTTAGCCTTTAAACTGAGTGCTCTATTAAAGTGATCATGTGTCACACACCTACATGTCCTCTTTTAACACATTCAGGCCTTGGTGGGGGAAAAAAACAAAAAACAAAAAAAAAGGACTAGACCTTTTCCATAATGCTTCTGCGATGACCTGCCTGTGATCTCATGCTAAAAGGCTTCGGCTGTGCCAGCCAAGGGGGAAACAGTCACAGGAAGTGGCTAAATCATGAGATCAGGAGACTGCGGCCTGGCACAGAGTCTGTGAACAAACGGTGAAGCATGTGCTCTTATGACAAGGTGATGACAAACCCCTTGGGCCACAGGAAGTACTAATACTGAATGAGTTATGAAAGGGATTAATGGATTATTTATCTCAGAGAAAAGGGGAATGAATCCGGGTTCTTTCGAATCAAGGTCAGATGGGTGAAGAAAGTACCATAAACAGACACACCGTTTTGATACTGTTGTGTGCTAGAAATCCCATCGTTCACAAGCCTCCATCTCTGGAAAAAAACGTACAGATTATGATGTATAAATGAGCTTTTCGTACCTGTCCTTCTCCCACAGTGTGTGTGTCTATGATGGTGACCACACCAGGCTGGTGAGGGCTGCGGCGGGTACCGCTATGGGCAGTGGCCTCTTCGTCGGGTGCCCCTGATGGCAGTGTACCAGCGAGCTGGGTCACGACTTTCCCCACCATGGTCAGGCCCGTCTTCAACGTCTGACAGGAAGACAGAGACACAACTTTAAAAAGATTTTAAAAAATCAAAAAGCTGTAGTGATTTATGATAATGATGTACAGAATGAAACTCAAAATGCTGTTCAAGGTGTCGTGTTCTCAGCATCTCTGGAATATCTTCTACTAACATTTATCGCATGGATGGATCTTTAATATCATCATTTTGAAAAAAAAAATTAGATTTAGATGTTTTAAAGTAAAATGAAACCTATTGTTTATTATTCAATAATTCATGCAAAGGGTTAAAAGAAAAACATTTCATTCAGCAACATTTGTGCCAGCTAAACACAAGTACTATTGCGACACTCAAATCAATACCACAAACAATGTTCCCACATCCAGAGATTTTGTTGAGCAATGACCTAAAAAAACATGTTTGCATCCAGTGTTGTTTGAGGCAATGTCAACAGACAGGTGTGTGAGTTAGCCGTGTAGGCTAACGGTTAGTGTTTGTGCAAGTGAGTGTCGATGTTTACTCTGAAAAGAGAGCCGAGAAGAGATGTCCGATTTCTGGCACGGCCGTTGGTGCAATGTCTGCCACCAGTCGGCCACCCCCTCCCCTCGCCGACCCTGATCAATGGGGACCATTTGGATTAGCACTAAAAACTCTAACTGCAGTGATTAGAAAACACATTAGTGTTGATCAATTAGGAGGCAAACGCTTCTCTTAATAATTGATGGGGCAAAGCAATTTACACACAGTCAGTTAGTGGGCTTGTCAGAGCATTCTCCAAAGGGCCCAACAAACACAGGCGCCACGAGGTATTGATGCTGCCGCTTGGCCTGAATGCCTGATTAAGCTCTCCAGGGCCTTGGCAGACAGACACACACATATAGCAACGCTCACTCCATTAAGTGAGAACTAGAGGAGACCCTACTTAAGCTGTGCTATCCACTTACCCCAAACACAGTTCACAACAGCAGAGGTCTGAAAACAGAGCCCTGGGGCACCCTGCTCATGCAGGCTTGTGGCTGGCACAATGACATCTCTCTTTTGGTCACATCGCACTCATTTACACAATCTGTGCCTTGCAGGAATTCAATTTTGCAAAAGGTGCCCTCCCCCTCCTTTTTTGTGATTGTGTTACAGGATTGATGGGAGATGGCCCCCTGGCCCCCAGACGGCCGCACTCAGAGCCACTCAGCACAGGGACCGTGTGTCAGAGCAGAGGAGATGGTTATAAATCACAGCCCCGTCTGCAGACGGCCTGTCTGCGTATCAAGGCTTTTTTAACCTTGTTTTCCTCTCCGCTAACCTTTACTATGCTCTTTTTGATGTATACCGCCATTAAGGCTAATGGCACTTCTCTCACGTAAGCCGTTAGCACTCATTAGGCGGTGATCAGGACGGCGGCCGGGGAATACAGATGTGGGCTTAATAAATCAATTAAGCAACCAGGAGAGGAGACTGGAACTATATGAAAGGTTAAGCACCAAGGTTCTGGCACCACTAAATGAACTCTAGTGGGTCTCTTAATCACTGAGGACTATGCCAAGGCTGTTCTGGGATGCTATATGGTGAATAAAGTGAGTGGAACAGCACACATTATGAGCTTCATTTAGAGCAGAGCAAACAGGAAAGAAAGCATGACTGAAAATACACAAATAAGTGCAAAGAAAAAACACAATTGCAAGAGCCAGCTAACACTTAAAAGGTTTAATCTGTATGGTTTGATTCATTGCCATGGAAAGAGGCTTATCATAAATTAATGTGACACAGCTTTCAAGATGCAAGGATCACTGGGCCAATCATATCTTAAAAATAAAAGGGTGACCATCCTGAATGTCCTTGAAGCTCTACAGTTTTAAATAAAAAACATGACAAAGTTTGGCCAGAGTAATGAACATCATTTCATCACCATGTTGAATGATTTTTAAACGCAGTGGGGATTCTAAGCCCAACATGCCAACTGTGCACCAACAGTTATAAATGTCAGATTTTACAAAAGAATGGCTGGTTTTAATCTTATAAACAAAAGTAATAATGCTCATAAGGACAAGAAGTATCTCAGAAGTATCTCATATTTGGACAATAATGCCACTCAAAATATATGGATTTCACTGTATTAGATACAAAATATCAAACCATGGGGCATCTGCAAATAAATAATGCTTTTTCTCGAAAACTTACTACTTTTTACCCTAAATAATCCATTAATGTTAGATAACCTGAAAGTAATACATTTTTGTGTGTGTGTGTGTGTGTAAAATTCATTACTATAAAAGTGTGCTTATTCTATCTAACTGACATTTATTTGTGGCTTAGGTGTGCAAATACTTTTTGATGCCACTGTGCCGTGTGTTGAAGACTGTGACTTGTCGTGGCAGCGGTAAGCAGCACATACTCACTTTAGCAGCACTGATGACAGTGGCAGTGTAGGACTGGGCATTATCTCCACAGGCCCCACCACGGGACTGATGACACCGGATCAGCTACACACACACAGAGACAAAACAGAGTCACATTATCATCCAGAACCTTTCAGCTCCCCAGCACTCATTAACCCACAGAGGCCTGTCACAGCCCGCGCCAGGACGTCTGCAGGCGGGCACGGTGAGTAAGAGGAGGAGGAGGATGCCATTAGGACAACAAACAGTTCTTCAGCCCCATTCTACAACGCATGTCCCTGACCTATACAACACTTCAGCTGCCATTGGTCAGAAACTCATTACCTTTGCCCAGACACACTGTCCCATCTGTCCATTATTAGGCAGCAAGTGGCCTCTCTAAGGCAAACAAACCGCACCCATTACATAAATGATGGTGAATCAAGGGTCTACTTAATAATAATATGTCACATTATATTGTTAGCTCCTATCGATATGACACGCACTGTCTTTATAATGATATGTGCAATTCGTAAGAAATAAAAACATTCATAAGATGACTGTAGTTTGATTTAGGGTTAAGCAAAGCAACAAATCTTAAGGAAGTCTTAAGGAAGGCCTGAACACTTAGGCTGACTATTAGGTGTTAGGGGTTCACAAGAGCATGTTCTTTTGTTTAAAAAAATCTGGAAGGAGCACAACAAAATGTACTACAAATAAAATAATATAAAAAATTAAATATAGTTGTTGTCTTTCTTTAAAACAAGAAAAAGTATTTAGGTGCATCTGGAGTGGTTTAAAATACTGGGTGTTTGTACTACCTTGTTCTCAGCATAGGCCAACCACCGGCTTCCCAGAGCTATGGGGTTTAGGTTGGGCCCAGGACAGGGGTAGCAGCCTGCAACACAAAGGAAAACATACCGATATAAGCAATAAACTAAATAACAGCACAAAGAACACATAAATAATCCATCATAGCAGCATCTCGCACAAGAATGTGTTTTACTAGAGCTTAGGGTTGGAGTAATACCAGAGGTTAAATAAGTGTTATGACATTTTGTGACAGTAGGATGGCTCCTCAGCTTATTAACTGCCAGACAGATTGACCCATGAGAGCAATACAGACAGAATCCGTATCAGTCCCACATGCCATGATAATGTAGCTGTACTTCACATACAAACAGGGCAAACATCATTTTATTAAAATCAGATCATTAAACTTAAAGCTAATAAATAATCACAGAAATACCAAACATCTTTCTCTGTCTTTGTACACAGAAAGGTTATGCAAGCGCATATCACAGTGTGAAGTGCTCTGACAATAATTTATAGCATGGAGTGAATATAAAATATTTGCAGACAGTAATTTAGGGTGTTGAGTCAGGATCTGAAACTCGGGTGAATGGGGGCTGAGGTAAGCCACAAGTGCAGTAATGCAAAAGCCTTCTGTGCCTTTCCAAAGTGGAGGGAGCCAATGCAGTAAGATAACATATGTTTAACACATCCTGTGAGCTGGGCTTGGGGGATTTTCACCATTGTTTTGTGATCTCACAGTCAGAAAGAGAAGACCTCATTCAACGCTTCCACCCCAAATAACATAAAAGTAATGAGAAAAAAACTAACAGGCTTCATAGTTTGTATTGTTCGATGTCTTTTGAAGTGTTATTTTAGTATCACTGAGATACTATTATATATTGTATAATTATTTTGAATTAGTTAATTTCGGAATTAATTTGAATTAAGCTATTTTCTGTTTTCATTTTACTTTCAGTTAGTTTTAGTAATTTTTCCTCATGTGTTTTTGGCATTTTATTCGTTTTTATTAATTTAATTTATTTATTTCAGTTTTAATTTTGGTAGAATTTTTTCTAATTGAAAATTAGAAATGTTGCCTTGGCAACTAGCTGAAATATTATTTTCTTCTATTTGATTTAATTTCAGTTAAAAACATCTTACATCAAACACATCTTTTATCATTATATTGAGAAATAAATGTACAAATACTGAAATGTAACAAAATTAAACATTTACAAACATTACATCATAAACACTATAAGCATGTATTTTAGCTCCCCTCACTCCACAACAAATCCTTTCAATTTAACGGTATTCAGAAAACAAGAGGGATTATTAAAAATATAAGTATAAAACAAACATAAATTATAGTGGCATTCATTATAAACAACATTTGTTATAAAAGCCAAGTCTAAACAAATTTATTTAAAAGCAAAACTAAATCTATCAGTGTGTGAGAAATGCACTATACAAATACACTTGGGCTCACGTACCGCTCTCGTTTGGCACAAATCCAAATGTATGAGCTTTGCTTTGAATTATAATTAGAAGCATGTTAAAACGTTAAAAAAATTTATTACATTTCAGAAAATAAATTAACTTTTTTAGTTTCTTTTTTTTTCTTTTTCTTTTTGGTTAACTATAATAACTCAGGTCTTCAGCCTGTCACTTTAAAAAATAAGTCTAGTCTTGTTCTTCCTATGTTGGGGAAGCTTTAGAGAAGCGATTAATGATGTAAAGGGTTATTGACCATGCCCGTTTCCTGTGGCGCAGACGTTGACAGGGAAGTCGGATAGATAATGAGAGCCATTAAAACAACACTAATGGCAATTTACAACAAACGATTGCTTAAGTGGGCAGCAGAGGCCTGGTTTCACATTGTGACATGGACAGTTTATTCTTCTGAAACCATACCGAGACCAGTCACGCACATGAGAGTTGGGACCTTATGAACAGCATCTCCTTCAAGGGTGCAAAAAAGCCATTTGGATTTCGCCCGTGGTCCGGCCTGGAGGAGAGGAAATGGCTCTTTATGTGCTAGAGCTGGGCTGAGTGACAATACGCATTTGTTTGTTATCGTTTACGCTGAGCAATGGAAGTTTGACACAGACATTTCTGGTAATGCCCAGCTCTGACACATTATAAAACAAAAGCCATTTGTGTAAACAAGCAGGCCTGTGGAATTGTGGATGAGCTTTGATATCGTATAGCCGTGAGGAGTGACACAGGGAAAAACGTCTCTGTTGGTGTGACAGCACGTATGAGGGTTGTGTGGGTTTTGTGGGTTTAATGAAGTCAGTGTGCAAAGAGGATTAATCAAGACTAGGTTTCCCGTTTTGCGAAGCTGCAGATCAAAGAGGCAGAGAAAAGTTGCGTTGGAGACTACAGAAGGTCAAGAAGGGTCAAGTTTAGCAGACACATGTATAACGTGAAGCACTTACTTGTGACAAAGAACTTTTTCATAAAGGTGCAGCTGTCAAATGCAGCGATCTTTTCTTGAAGACTAACGACGAGGATCCTTTGGTCATCGAGGGATGGAGATTACATTGGAAAAATAAAAAATATAAGCGTACATTAGCTTAATGCTGCATTTAAAATGATTACAAGGTAAAATGCAGGATAAAATGTGTGTAAATGAACCTTTTGTTGCAATGCAGATCATAGATGGGCGTTTTAAACTGTATGGACTTGACCATCTCTCCTGTCCTCAAGGAATAAAGATCCACACAACAATAAGGGGGACTTGTCCTGCAAAAGACAGACAGAGCAGCGATTAGTTAGTCGGAATAGTTTCAATACTTAACCATATTATTTTGCATATTTATAAATTAATGTCAAATAATCAAGGAAATGAGTATGAATAATTACTTTTATTGAGCAAGATGCATTAAATTGATCAAAAGTGACAGAATAATTTCTTAAGGATCATGTGACAACAAGACTGGAGTAATGGCTTCTAAAAATTCAGCTTTGCCATCATCGGAATAAATTACAATTAAGATATATTAAAACAGAAAACATTTATTTTGAATCCGAATATTTCACAATATTACCTTTTTTTTTTTTACTGTATGATTTAAGTAAATGCAGCCTTGGTGAGCCAAGAGAAGTCAAGAGACTTCTTTCAAAACATTTTTTTTTTATCTTACCCAAACTTTTGAAAACTAAAAGCAAAACAAAAAAACACACACAAAAACAAAGCCCAGCAAAGCAAAGAAAAAAACAAAACAAAAACAACAACAAAAAAATTTTTACTAAAACGAAACAAAACAAAAAGGCTAGAACATTTTTATTTATGAACACAAAACCCAATGTTGACGTTCCCAAAACACATTACAAGATCAAGTCCCACTTTCTAACTCTGTAGTTATTTCCTCTCTACCTTCATCAAGGAGATGGGAGTTAAGTGAAAGCAGTGGCTGCTGCTTGTGATAAAGGCAGATATTAATCCTCATTAGGTGTTCTGCACTCAGCTGGCACAGCCTGGCCTGCCATATTAACCATCTTAACAGAATGTTTCTGGTAAGACGCTGTGCTGGGCACTTTGCTTTCCACGGGATATTAGTCTTGTGGTAATAAGCATGGCATCAGCACTGCCCAACCCAGTGGGGTTACATCAGACAGAATACCGATCTAACAAGTCAGGTATTCTGTTGGAGCCGTGGCTAAGTGTACATAAGTTGCTCAAACCTCAGTAATAAATGAAGGATGTCAGGAGTCTAACTACAGACAAAACTGGAACCAAAGAGGCCAGATTATTGACACTGACGCGGAGCTGATCGAGCACTCCATGTAAATGAAGATGATCAATAGCCTGTGCTTCATTGACAAAACAATTGGCTTTGAAAGCAACCACTAATGATTTGCTGCGTCTGACTCTTAATTCGACCGACTGTCTGCCGCTTCACAAGAAGTGATTATATCATGCATCATAGATTAGCATTAACATACAGTTTGGCAATAAAACGTATAGTGCATAGTGCTATTGGCTCTGCTACTAATGTAACACAGCTCCTGTGAAAACAAGGGGTTGACTCTGGTCTTTCGACTACTATTTTGATGTCAAAAAAAGGCTAGATGGCTCCAGTCATGGATTCTGATTGGCCAATACAATGAGCCGGCTATAACACACAATATAGTCAAATCTGACAACTGCTCATCTAGCATTTTTAAAAGTTGGAATAATTTAACTTGTCACAGCATCTTAAAAGTGCATTGTTCATTGCAGGATGCTCAAAAAACAATGAGACGTGACACAATGGCCACTAACATCCATATGCATATCTATGGATATAGTAACGGTGCTGTAGAGGGGATGAATATATATATATATATATATACACATACAATTTTTTCAAGAGTTTTTATCATGCAAACTGCCTAACACCTAATGCACCGGACAATGCTGACACTCTAATCAAAGAGGGGAAAACAAAAAAGAAAAATCTAATTATCATGTAAAACAGAGGACGTCGTTGGCACAAATGAAAGAACCTGTGGAAAATAAAACAAAACATAAATAAATACTATTATTATTATTATTTTTAGAGAGAGAGAGAGAGAGAAATAGAACAGCTTGCTGATCATTAAAAGCCATTAGTAAACCTTCAAGCAGAAGGGCATCAATGAATTTAATAAAAAATAATATGGTAAAAAAAAATGTGTCTTCATATAAGATAGTACAGCCTTTTATACTTGCATAAATATATCATTTTAAAGGCTCTCAAATTCACCCTTTTCTTTGTTTCCCCCTTTTTTAATGTTGGAAAATGTCATTTTACTCCTCATTCATAGTTTACAAGCATGCAAACAGTGGATAAAACAGCGTGGACAGCATGTGGAGAAAACAGCTCTTTTTCCAAACATGCACATATCAGTTTTACAAAGCAGCCAAGACATCAAACCACAAATTGTGGAACATGGCAGTACTTAAACCATAAATGAAAAAAGCAGTGGTGTCTCTCAACATCCTATACTTTCGAGTTCTGATTCTGAGTGATGAAGAGCCAGGGAGGTTTTTAATTTGTCATTACTTTCACAGACAGTGAGTGATCTCTGAGTGAAGCCGTGACGATTGTGAATCCAGCCTGTACTTTGAGCGTGTTCCCAAACAGCTCCCATTTGAGCCACTTCTCCTCAGCACTGTGGCTTGAGGTCAGGGTGGACAGATTGTACATAATGTTTTTAAGATAGCATGATAATGTCTTGGAGCAGGAGACTCGCAGTGCGTGTGATACACATCCCATTCTTAGTGTATGGAAGGTCAAACCTGCAACTGATGCTCAGTGTCTCAGATCCATCAGTGATTGATGGAATCGTCCCAATTCTTAAGTTGTGCTATGGCCATTTGGAGGTCCGAATTGGCCAACAGGTAGAGTTGTGTGGCAAAACTGACCCGTGATTGGTCTGAGCCCACTGTGGGAGATTGAGTTTGCAGGCTTACCCAGGGCTGGATTACAGCATGCGTGAGAACACAATCCAGTAAGCAGTACAATCCACCTCAGACATGAACGTGTGCCCAGAGCTGCATCTCTACATTGGCCAGTTGCCAGAGCCCCATCACAAATACAAACACACAATCACAGGGCAGTGACTGGACAGTCTAGTGAAAATAAATAAAACCAAGTCAGACCGACAATTTCCAACCAGTGTTTGAGATCAGTCGTATTTTAGTCAATGACAAATAACAGTGTCCCTGATAAAGAAAAAAAAATTAATTTAGTTCTCAAAAATGTACTCTTTCATGTTGGTTTTGAAAAACATTTAATTTAAGGAATAATTTCATGTGATGTAGTATCTATCAACTAAAAAAAAAATATTTATAGTAAAATATACATATTTTCCTTTCTATTTGAGTACACGTAAATGTACACATCTTCATCGTTATTTCTAAAAATGTAAATATAATAAATCATTATATTATCATATATATAATAGAAAAAAATTAATATATATATTTATATATATATATATATATATATATATATATATATATATATATATATATATATATATATATGAATATAATAATTGGGGAGTTTGGGGACTAACCTTGCCTTGTCTGCTGTGTGAACATAGCTTAAGTGTGTCAAACAGATAACTGTAGAAATCTGCAAAAGCTATCAGTCTGCATTTTTATTCTCTTCTACTGTCCTTTTACAGCTGCGGACACTTGAAGTCTCGGCGAGAGAGACATGGTTATCTACAAAGAGATTATCATCATAGCTAAAAACCCCTCTGGATTCAGACACCGAGATTAATAGGGGCATTTAACTTCCTAAACTTGTCTTAGAGCCACTATTCATTGATTTCAATATAATCTGGGTCAGATCAATCCAATTTAAAGCGTTTTAGAGCCAATGTGACACAAATGATACGCTCACAGATTGATTAACGGGACAATGATAGCCTTGAAAAAAGAATCATCAAATTGGCCACTTCAATTGTTTGGCCTTTTGCATTGTAACTAATGGCCCGCTTCTAATGGACGCAGTGCACGCTAAACATAATACAATTTCCTCTCACTGAGAATCGAGACTTCGATTTGAAAGCGTCAGTAAATTTCAATTATCGTTATAAAATCATATTAGTGTTTCAGTGTAGTACACTTTTAGGTGATATTGAGCACAGATATTATGACCTGTCCTATGGCTTCAGTCATCCGACTTTATATATGTCCCTTTCATCCAGGCCATTTCTTTAGCAAAGGGCAAGTTAATACATATACTAAATCTGATTAACATAAGGCCATAAAAGTTATTGTGTTTTCATAATTTTAAGGATAAAGAGCAGAGAAAATCTTTTTTTCCCTGTTTGCCTGAGAAACATACTCTTAACTTGTCACTGACCATAAAAAAAAAAACCTGGGCACTAAAGACATCTAGAAAGTTATATATAAATATATATATATTTTTTTTACATGCTGTATTTTTTAGTATTAGACCTGAACTCACAAGTTCACATCTGGAAAATTCAACCTTCTTTATTCGGCGTGACATAACTTCACAATGCTTCAAATGTGAATATCCACAATCTCAACAGCGCGTCTAATAGCTGGGTACAATCTCACAAAACTTCCAAGACGCACACCTGCAAAATCCATCTCCCCTCAGCATGGTAAGACAATAAAAAAGGCCTTTTTCTGGTCTTAGCCTTCCTTGTGCTAACCAAATGGGAAAAGTCACTCTCGAGTGGAACAAGAACAATTTTTACAGTTAAGGTTTGGTTTAATTTTAGCATCACATATGTTTACAATGGTAATTACGCACATTACGCCACTATGTGACAAGCTGGCCAACTCATCACTTTTATAATGTCGTAAACGTTTTGATGTCTGTATTTCAGCATGACTCTGAACCCTGTAAGATAACCATTTTGGTGCTTTTTACATTGTGAGGTTTTAATCATTTCACTAACCTGAACGGAAACTGACAAGGGGAAAGGAATATAAAATAGGAAGTCTGGAAACGGATAGCAGTGCTAGCGAGTAAATCAATTTACAAGGCGACGTCACCGCATTTTGGCTTCAGCTACTTTACAAGCTTTCCGAATACGAACAGACAATTACATGCTCTGGAGATGCAAAAAAAAAAAATACTGCCTCACCCCAAAATACCAGCCGAACTTCTCAGAAACATACCACAAAACATGAGCAGCTTAATTCACTAACTAAACTCAATAAATGTGCCATTAATGAAAATACAAATAAATCTGTTAAAAGTGGACAATGTTTTGATGTCTGTATTTCA